TGGAGTGAAGGGCGCAGCGTTAGAGCTGTGAGACTTTCCTGGGAAGGGGCCGGGGTCTGGGAAACTGGTCAGACCGGCGTGGCTCAGTGTCTTGCCTTCGAATCTGGTGCGGTTTGGGTGGAATAGGTGGCGCGTCGATGCTTGGAGGAATCGAAAAGCTCGGTGGAAGCGGGACCTGCCTGCGGGGGTTGTTCCGCTCATGTATGCTGTAAGGAGGCGGGGTCTTGTTCTCCCGCCGAATAAGCTCGTCTGATCCGCTGGAGGTGGAGTTTGGGAGGGCATGGTCAGCGGGTGTGTTCTCAGTTCCGGAGGCCTCAGAGACGCTGCAGCGACTGAGAGACGAGATACCGCTGCTGTAGCTTCCAGAAAGCACCGGAGAATTCGACACCAACCCTGTCGACTGGCACTCTGTTGGTGAGGGGGTGAACGGAGGCACAGAGGTCTGCGAATACAAGATGAGAGAAAACATGAAGCTCTGGGCCACAATGTAGTTAGCAAAAGAAAAAAAGTTACCTCTTCTGCTGGCAGAAACCCTTAATAAAGAAACCATCAGCTGCAACCGAAGCAGCGTCCCGCCTCACAGAGCTAATCTGTACACTGGAAGGCCAAAGCACAATATTCTGCAATTTTGGCTCTATTATTTCAAGGCAATACTGTGTCTTTTCATTACGAAAATTATTTCTAGGCAATTAAATCCGCAACTAAGACTGCAGCTGTTTCTAGGACTTCATTTCACTGAATAAAGCGTATTTAGTCTGATTGCACTCTGGAGAGAACTTCAAACACAACATTTCCGCTAGGATAATTCAGCTTTGTGCAGCAACTACAAACAAAATACACACAGTTGTGAACAGTGCATCTCAATAACAGTGAGTTTACATGTAAAGAAAAGTATGTATGTATATGTATATATATATATTCCCCATGATTTCAGCTGAAAAATGTATATTTAGAAAGATGCACAAAAATGTATTGGGAACATAATTGTCATTGACTACATTACAGATTTTAAAGTTATTGGTATCAATTGACATTGGATATGTTGATTTATATTGGATATTTAGTTGTGCAAGCTCATTTTCTAATAATAACTGAATAACACTGCTATATGTAATCTTCAGCAATTCTCAGATTAAATATCCATTTTTCATACTGTACATTATAATGATGTGATACCTTAGTGTTTTACTTTATTTATTTAAATGAAATAATATAGAATTTGAATTCTGACAATTTATCAGTTAGCGGCCGTAACCTGAATATTTAGCATTGGTATCGTACAGAAATGTAATACTGGTGCATCTCTATAAACTGAATGAATACACTGTTATCAAATTTATTTCAAATATAAAATGCAATCTTGTTTTGGAGATTTCAGAGTTTCCCAATTCAACTGGATAGCGTAAAATAGCCTGGACCAGAATGGAAATTTGCACTGGTCAATGTTGGTTTTTCCAGCTGTGACTGAATGTGGAATCTATATTCCTATGTGTGTGTTTGGTCATTTGTGTGTGATATGTCACGCAGTATAGCTTCAGACATGAGACAATTTCTGGGGCAAGCAACCGTACACAGGTTACGCTTTCCCTTTCCGACCCACTGACCGCACTTCCTTCAGGAAATTCACCAGCATTCCCACTGAGATTTCTTCCTATCCGAATCTCACCCTCTCTGCTTATTCCTTCTGAGTAGCTTGACAGATTTCTGATTTCCAGAAGGAGGAATGATTTGATTTCTATGCAGTCATCTACACTTTAAATGTGAACAGAGTTCCCACGGGTTGGATTGTAGAGTTTTATATGGTGATTAGTGAGCATGTGTGTGTTGCTGAATACCAGGTGACGAATCAATACATGGCACGAGACAAGAATTCAAGGAAACAGCAAGGAATGTAATTATCAACACGAGGCGCGCAGTTGAGTGGGAGTTTCTGAGAAGCCATTACAGCGGTGCTCAGCTTTGAGGACTGTTACTCTGAATGAGGAGAATGTGCTTTTATTTAAAACCGGAATACACTCACTGCAACGCCAAAGAAAAATGGCATGAAGGTACATTGATAGCGGCAGCTCCAACCTTTTTCAAGATCTGTGACCTTTTTGACTATTATGCCCTTTGAAAGAAAAATACTGTGGTTTCTTCAATACTGATACCTGCATTTTCAGTAAAGTTGTAATTTTCTCTTCACTGTATTGGTATCGTACATAAACACAGTGTTGGACTCAAAAATGATATTACTAAATGTAATGATATTACATACTAAGGTTCAAAGGTTTGGGGTCTGTACGATTTTTTTAATGTCTCTTAAGCTCACCAAGGCTGCATTTATTTGATTAAAAATACAGTAAAAGTAATATTGGGAAATATTATTACAATATTATACAATACAAATTATACAAATAGTGGTTACACTTTATTTTAAGGTGTCCTTGTTACGGTATAATTATACATACTGAGTAATATTAATTAACTACATGTACTTACTACATGGTTAGGGTTAGGATTAGGGTTTGGCTTAGGGTTACTTGCATGTAATTATGCATAATTCATTGTTATTATAATAGTAAGTACATGTAACATGTGTAACAAGGACACCTTAAAATAACCCAAACAGTATTAAAAAATAAAATAACTGTTTTCTATTGTAATATATTTTAAATTGTAAGTTATTCCTGTGATGCAAAGCTGAATTTTCAGCATCATTACTCCAGTCTTCAGTGTCACATGATCCTTCAGAAATCATTCTAATATACTGATTTGCTGCTCAAAAAACATTTCTTATTATTATTAAAAACAGTTGATCTGCTTAATATTTTCTAGAAACCGTGATACTTACATTTTTTTTAAATGAAAGTTCAAAAGAACAGCATTTATTCAAATTAGAAATATTCTGTACCGTTATAAATGACTTTACTGTCGCTTTTGATCAGTTCAATGCATCCTTGCTGAATAAAAGTACTAATTTCCTTAAAATTAAATTTCACTGACCCCAAACTTTTGAGCGGTGGTGCATATATTTTGTTGCTTTCTGCTTTATAGTTGTTACCAGAGTTCAATATCTGTAAAATGTATGTGTCACCATTGAGATGGAAGACTTTTAGATGGGTTAGTGGTTTCTGGAGGGTTTGCACCGGATCGCTGCCAACCGAACTGCCCAGGACTGGCATGAACACACACAAACAGTGTCCCTCTGTCTAATTGTGGGCCCAGTTGGACTGACTTGAATCTGACCCAGTTTAGACGCCCTGGATTGAGTCCCCAGACGCTACAATAAACATCCACACCAGTAAATACATCAAAGGTCACTTCACAAAACACCCTAGACAACAAGAAAAGGTCATACCTTCTGCGGTGAGCGTAATGTCATCATGGGGGACTGTGATCGTGTAGTCTTGGCAGGAGATCCTATTAAAGGACACAAAAAGTCAATCTTCTTCACTTGATACAGGAGCCTGGGACAGTAAACATAGTCACGGCTGTCTATTAATCAGGAAAACGCTTCAAGGTCGGTCGGCTAATGCAAAACAGTTTAACCATTCGGTACAGTCCCAGTTCTTTTCCAGGAAGCTCAATTAGAGTCCACAGATGTAGACCTTTAAAAGGGTCGTATCATACGGTTTTATAATGTAATTTGCTCTTTGAGGTCTACTTATAATGTTAGAGAAGTTTGAAAGTGTTCACTATTTTGGATAAAATTGCAATAATAATAATAATATTATTAATAATAATAATATGAATTATATTTAATTAAGTTTTATATAATAATAATAATTACTACATAAAATTAATCAAACAAATCTAATAATATAAAATATTAAAACGTAAAATAATAAAATACACTAATGTATAGTTACAGTTCTGAAAGTCACATAATAATAATAATAATAATGTATTATATTAAAATGTATAAAACACAATATTAAATAAATACACGTTTTCTATACTTGTAGTAGAAAGTTACAATAAATAATATAACTATAATAATAAATAATTAGAAAAAAAAAAAAAAAATAGAAAATATACTAGTTAAAGAGTTCTGAAATGTAACATCAATTTGTCATATTAAAATTAATATAAAAATAATACAAATATAAAATAATAAATACAAGAGTTATAGTTTGTAATAAAATAAATAAATAAAAGACAATGCAGAAAAG